GCCTCTGCCTGGCTAAGGCTTTTGCCTGGCTGTGCTGGGGATGTTTGCAGCCTCCCTGCCTGGCTGCAAACATCCAGGGGTCCCACCGGGCTGGGAGCCAGGGACTCCTGTTGTGGAAAAGGGGACAGGAGTGTTGGAAGCTACATGCTATGAAACCAGGTGAGGTTGGCCCTGCATGCTGCAGGAGTGTGGAGAGCTGCACGCTATGGGGCCAGTCAAGGGTCAAGGGGTGGGACTTCTGGCCCCGAGGTAGTGACAAGGGGGGTGGGGACCTGTCAAGGGGCGGGACTACCCTTGCAGCCCTTAACAGCTCAGCAAAACTTGTTAAGTGGCCCTCCAGCCAAAATATTTGCCTACCCTGGCTTACAGTATCATTGTTGTCTCTGGCTACCAGCAGCAGTATTTTGTCAGTGTCCAGTGGTGGAATTGAGTGCACAGGCCAGTGCAAAGTAGCTGCTGGCCCTTTGAGTTCTCTCAGAAATCTTATTATTTCTTCATGTAGTGACATTAGAAATGGACCTGCCTGAAGGAATAGGAAGGGCTGCCCTGCAGAGAGACAGAGTGCGAAGAGACAGAGTTTGTCTCAGTAGGCACACCCTTTGCCCTGAGGGTGAGTGATGCTGTTTTGGAGGTAGCCCTCTGTGTAGTTGGGGGGGGGGGGTGATGTAATCCCAGCAGGGTTTGAATGAGACACGTTAGCAAAAGCCCAGGAAGAGTCCTGGCCTGGGATTGGCTGAGAGGCTTGGTTAAAAGAGGGCAGCAGTTTTCCTGGGGAGAAGAACAAAGGGGAGAGAGAGGGGGTGAGAGAGAGGCTGCAGACCAGGGAAGGGATCTCCCCATGGCTGTCCCTCCGAGAGCCGCTGTCAAAGCCCTGCAGAAGTAGCAGCAAGAGGCTGCACCGAGAGTGCTGCCATGTATCTGTTCTCCCTTCCTTCCTCTCCAAGCCCTGCCAGGGCTGGACAAGAGAGGAGCTGCCTGTGAGGAGACTCCAAGCCTGGGAAGACCCTCCTGCAAGCCCATGTGTGCCTGGGTAAGCACAGCAGGGGAGGGGGATACAGGACCATGGGGAGACTGCTGGAGACTGTTCTGCCATTTCCCTGGGAGTGAGAAGGCCCCCGGGAGGGGCCAGGTCAGGGTACCAGGGAGCCCTGGGCTAGAGGGGCAGGGACTGCTCCAGCCACTAGAAGCCCCAGAAACTGTTACGACCTGCAGCCCAGACACTGCTACCTTCTGTGCCAGGGACAGGGGTCTGGGCAGGAGTCGGATCTCTTTCAGGGACCGCAGTGGAGGAGCCATCACCTGCTGCACTGAGACCCCTGGAGCCCAGAGAGGGATGCCAGCAGCGGGGACCACCCATGGCTCCTGTGCCAGGGACACAGATGCAGCCCAACTCTCTAAGACACCCCGCCAGGAGCAGTGCACACAGGGGCCTCAGTACACAGTGTACAAATTATAGACTATGTAAATAAGTTCTTCATGGTTTATTAGCTGGAGTATCAATGTATTTATTTATTGGTTCCTTATTTATTGTGGGTAATGTGTATACCTTCCCCTAGTGTAATGGGTATCCAAGAAGCATTAACCCTTAAGCCATCATCACTAGGTTATGCAGTGTAACTTTTGTTTTCTTGCATTGGTTATATGTTACCTTGTAAATAATTAAGTCCTGTAAATAGTTTTATAGCGGTCTGCAAGGTTTTTTGATTGTAAGGGGAGGCCCCTTTGCTCGGGGACCCTGCAGCAGCTACCCAGGGAGCTGAGCAGGGCCACCGGCTACCAAGTACCCCAGGATCCCTCTATTCAGGTGAGGGCGCAGGTAGCATCGTGCCCAGGGTTAACCATTCATATATTACCTAAACCAGCCAGAGATCCTTTCCCTTACTGCAACACTTTGATGCCTCCTGGTTGTACCTCTGTCTCACTTGTTCACTTGTACCTTTCTGCAGTGTAGTGACTAAAGTTCAGGTGTACCTTTGCAATGATTTCAGCAAGGGATCTCACTCAAGCCTAAGTACTGAATAAGTTGGAGTATTACACAGGTCTCAGACTCCAAGAAAACTGAATTTGCAAAAGACAGGCCATGGCTACATGCCATAATATTATCTGCAATGTGACATCCTGGAGCAAGGAAGGACATATAGGTGCATGGATAGGTGACCCAAGAAGCCAGAAAAACAGTGTGCGGTACCAGTGGGAGGACCTGGCAGCTGTGGGAGGACCAGTGGAGGACCTGGAGGACCTGGCAGCAGGACGGACAAGGCCTTAATCATCCCAAGCTAAAGAGCATTGTCCGAGAAGATAATGTCTGAGACAAAGGATCAGCCACAAAAAGGCATCCTGCATCTTGTCCTTCTTTTTTTACTTGGTACACACCCACCTGCTTGTGCTTTCTTTCTCTGCTGTACACACAAGTGAAAAGCCAGCCTTGTCCTTTATTGCTAACCTGAGTAAACCTAATTAGGAATAGCAAACCCAGTAAGTTATGGAGCCCCTTGTCAAAATTATTCTTTAACTTGTTTGTCAGTGTTTATTTTTAAATCCATACTCTGACCTCTACTTCTTTTATCTTGAATTTTGAGTAGGTAGGTAGATCCTCCCCTCTGTAGATTTAACCTTTATTTAACCCATTGGTAAATTGATTATGCCTCAAAATTCGAACGCAGACTGGTCCAAATCAAACTGGAGGTTTGCCAGAATCTCACTTCCCAAATATTTGTAAACCTTAAATGCCCCTTATTTCAACCCAAAATTGCAGACAGTGTCTCAACTTTCTTAAAGGACTTTATTAGTATTCTCTAAGGGATCTCTAGAATATTTTAAGCTAACTGTTTAACTTGTACGATGATCAGGCTGTGGCCAATTTCTCCATAGGGGTTACAGGTCTCCATAGGGATTGCATATGATCTTTGAAAAGTGCATTTCCCTCTAGCAAGCCATAAACACTTAGGAGAGTTCCTAAAGATCACTCAAAATATATTTATGGAAGGCTTTGGTGTCACATTTTCATTTTACTTATATTATTATACACACAGAGCATATTAAAAGGTTTCCTAAACACAGAATAGAGCTGTTTCAATAGAATGCTATTTTCCAAAGCCTAAAGACAATAGCTTTATATTATATTTAGGAATATACAAGACTTCTTTCCCAATTTCATAAAATATTATAAACAGCTGATAAAATCCTTTTTTGTCCTAACTGGGCCAATGAATTTTCTTAGGGCATTTTAGTAACTTTGGGTTTTTTTCACTAACTCTTCCCAATCAAATGAAAAATAATAACCTTCTGGATCCTGCCTTGATAAGGTCAGACTGCTGATTCTTTCTTTCCAACAATTTAGCCTGGCTTGCTCTTTCCAGAATACATTTATTCAGTAATAAATATCTCCAGGCAGTTGGGCTTCTGTACAACCTGGAAACAATTAAAACAAAACTGAGCAAAATGGCATTGGGCAGGGGGAGGGGAGCATTATCTCTGAAATTCACTTTGAAATATTTTGGACTAAAATTACTCCTAGATTGTCCTATCTGATTTCATTATTTAGATGCATTAATAAAAATATTAATTTTATGCCACAATATCATCTTATGTGCTTTTACTCTGTGTCACTTTTAACCTTTGGTGTCTCATTCAAAGCCTATTAATCAAGTGGAATTTTTTCCATTGACTTCACTAGACGTTTAATCAAGCCCCAAGTTCCAAAGTCATCCAACGTTTTTTGCATGAATTAATTACCCCCTCTATAAACACTCTTCTTTAATTGCAAGTCTGTAACATCTGTTCATGTTCTCTTAAAACAAACAAACAAATAAACACACAAACAAACACTTTAGAGATATATTCCATTTGAATTAACTTTCACCTCTTACTTTTGGGCTATCCAGCAATATCAAATCACTTCATTCTAAAATAAAGTTTAGAAATTTTAGACATAAAAGTCCTGTCACTGCTTAGACATGATTTCTGAAAAGAAAATCAATTTTTTTACAGCTTTGTCCAAACCAAAGCTAAACTTTGTTTTAACAGCCCTGTTTCAATCCACAAAGTTCTTCGGACCATTATCAGGGGGAATTAATGAACGGTGCTAATAGCTGGGTCTGAGTTACAAGGTATTAGGAGGAGACAATCAGGAGGAAAGGCAATATATAACCTTTAGATGGAACAATTAGAGATCAATTATTAGAGCCACAGAAGAGCATTCTGAAGCTGCTTCTTCATTAATCAAAGATTATCCCAAATTAGAATGTTTAATTATTTGCAAAGGTTCTTTGTATATTGTAGCTCAGAAAATGCCACAGGGCTTATGGGTATAGGTTGTAGCCGTGTTGGTCTAAGGGGATAGGCAGACACGGTTCTTTTGGCAATAAAAGATATCACATTTACCAAAAGAACCTTGTCTGCATAAGGCGTATGGAAAATTTTCTAGCTGCTATTACTGTGTGTGTGTATATGTATGTATAATAATCACTTAATGGCACAGCATACTGAACCTCTTAAGGAACCAGTAGCACTCTAAACCCAGAGGGAACTATTCAAGTTCACTAGAGCTAGATACTGGGATAAGGCCCTTACAGGCACTGAACCTGCCATGTCCCAGTAATCACACGCGCATGACAACATTGGAAGTACTATGGCTGCTACCGAATAGAATGGCTACCAAACATTTAAAGCAACACAGTGGCTAATCAATTTAACTTTTAACAAACATCCCAAGCTAAAACTACCTGCACTAGTAGAGAGTAGGAGCCTCCTGCTGTGCCTTCTTCAGTCCATTACTCTATTAATGAGATAGACTTCATAGTGTACTGTATGCATTTAACCCATTGCCACAGCAGCACACTGTTGCAACCTAAAGCAGACTGCAGCAACTGGAGTGTTAGATAAGCAAAAAAAAAAAAAAAAATCTTCCATCCCCACCCCTAACCCACTCCACCCCCACATGGCTATATAGGTGCCTTTTACAAGAACAACAGCATCTTCTCTTGGGTCCAGCAGCCTACCTCTTTTCAGGCTAATCCCAACATAGGGTAATTTGTCTCCAGGCTTCTGCTGCATTTGCACCAATAAAAGGTTAAGCCCCTCTCTGCTTCCCTGCCCACAAGATCTCCACAGACCTCTATGCAGTTCAAATTAACTTGGTTTCCCTGAAGCCCTTCCCCTTTTCTCCCCAGCATCCGGTTGTGCTTTCAGTTCCTCTGAAGTCTGCTTCTGGCCCACCCTGTTCTCAAATCACCACACAGCCAAGCCACGTTGCTTCCGCTGCTGCCTCGCAGGGAAAGCACGCACACTGCATGGGACTCTTGCAAAGAGTTTTACTAAGCTCTTCCCCCCCCAGGGCCAGGGCAGAAGGGCATTCTCTCTCCTTGGGGGGTCATAGAGCGGCACTGGGGGAGAGAAGGGAGGGGAGTAATACTTTCCTGCTCAGCAGAATCAGCATGAGGGTGTGGGGCTTGTGTCCCAAGTATGTGGTGGAGCATGGATGGCGGCACAGCGGGGCACTTTGAGCTCCTATACACATGCAGGGAGCCTGCCCTGATGTGCTGGAAATTCAGTGTGTCAGAGCAGACTTGATTAATTGAGTCTGCTGAAGAATGAAAATCGACATGCTGTGGCAGCCTCATGCGTCACTTGTAGCAGGATCACCATGCATCTCCATGCTGACAAAATGGCAGCGCTGTGCTTTGAAATAAAATACTTTAGCTTTGGTTCAAAGTGCCCTGCTGCCATTTTGTCAGCATGGGAACGCACAGCAATGCTGACACATGTCACCTGTGGGCACTTTTAATTAGCGCAGCTCACTAATTGGGATGCCCTGAACCATATCAGGAGCACGTGTAAAAATGCCCTTTGTTTTTCTCCCTTTTTACTAGTCACACGAATGGGGACTCACTGGTGTAAAGTACTCACACAAGGGAACTTTCCTCCAGGGAAAGGGTGCCTCCAAGTGGGCTGAGGGAATAGGATAACAAGTGACCGTGGCATCCCTGATATCCTCTAATCCCTTGCTGCGATAATCATAGGAATATGGCATTTGGGACTGCGAGTTGAGACAGCCCAGAAGAGAAGCACAAACTCTCTCCCTCTGCCACCTGTGCAGGACCTAGAGCCACTTCTGAGATGAATCTCCCCAGAGATGTTTGTGAGAGAAGATTTCAAAGGTATCAGGACTGGCATCCATGGCAGAGCAGAGACAGTGGCATGAATGGAAAAAAGACTGGAGATCTGAGGTTTAGGCATGGGCTGTGCAATAAGAGTCCTGAAGGCAAGGACAAGAAGTTTGTACTTGTAGTAGGTCAGCCTTTGTTGGCAATATGAGCAGCATGTAGCAGGAATTAACCTCCAGCTTACCAAGATGTAGTGTGGGGCTTATGCATCCCATCACAGCTTGTGACTGTTTCTTCTTTTATTATGGCATTTTGAACATTATTTCAGCTTTCAGATGTGGCATTCTGCCAAACATAAAGCAAGATGATGGATAACTAGTCGTGCTGTGAGCAGTTTATTGTAGTTAAGGTCAATTCTTGAATCACCTCAGTCCATTTTTCTTATGCTCCAGGGGAAAACCGCTTTTCATATTTTCCACTGTTTGCTTAAACCTTTCAATTCCTTTCCCATGGGGAAAAGAGGTGCTGCTTAGAATTTTTTTCATGTTTAGCTGACAGCATTGCATGGAAATAGTTTGTGAAAAATGGCCCTTTAATCAGGTAATATCTTGGAGAAGTTGCAGCCAGTCATGGGAGAATCACACCAGTGCATAGGGAACCTTCACTGGTATAAGTACAATATAGGAGATTTTGAACCAGTATTTCTCAACCAGGGTCCCTTGAGATCCTTTCAAGGGTGCCTCAGGGTACCACTCAATGTTAGTACTATTAGGTGTGCAATATTATTCACAAGATAAACCCAGAGGATTCAAGTAGAATCCATAGTGTTAAATGCATTCTGACCTGTTGTGCTCTTTCTGCGTTCTTTGCAGAAGAAAAACGGCTTCTACTATTTTTCCATAGTCAAAAAATGAGTGAAAACTAAGAGCTAGAATTTTCTGAGGGGTGCCTTGAATCTAATGAAGGGCATCTTGAATCTTAAAAGGTTGAGAAACATTGTGTTAAACTATTCCCACTCACTGCAGCCAGTGAGAGGACAGACAGAGGAAATGGGACTGTGCCCACAACACCCAACTCTACGTTCATTCTTAGTTACTTTATTTGTCCCTCGTGGATGCGTAATTTGAACCTAGGTCTCTAACATCCATAGTAAGCATTCTAATTACTGGGCTACTGGATAAAACAGGGGTGGGCAAAATGACAGATCTGGCCAGTGGCTGGACTCCATTTCCCAGCAGCCCCTGCCTATGTCACTGTAGCCAGTTACCATGGAGACCCCAGCAGTGGTGAAGCCATGACAGTGTGGGACCAGGGTTTCTAAGGAGACCGGCCCCAGCAGTGCTCTCAGGGCGTGCGGCTGGGTGGGGAGCTGCTCTGGGGCTAGGGCTGGGATCTTACGGTGGAGACAGTGTGGTCTGGAACCTGGGCAGAGCTGCGATCCATTGCCTGCACACTCCTGCCCAGACCATGCAGGCAGTGGATCATGGTGTTGCCCCAGCTCTGGACCATGCTATCACTGCCGCAAGATCTTGGCCCTAGAGCAGCTCCCCGCTCAGCCGCATGCCCTGCCAGCACTGCTGCAGCTGGTCTCCAAGGAAATCCTGGCCCCATGCTGTCACAGCCCTGCTGTTACTGGGGACTCCATGAAAATCAGCCACAGCAATACGGGTAAGGGCTGCTGGGAAATGGAGTCTGCTGCAGGCCTGATCTGGCCCATGGGCAAGACTTTTCCCACCCCTGGAGCAAAAGCAGCTACTTCTAGCTGTGTTTATGACAAACCATGCTGGGTTTGTATTTTTTTCCAAACAGCGTAGGCATCTACTTCTAGTAGCCAGTTCAGGCCTGTGGATTCTGAGCGGAAAGACATGTTGCTTTGCATCCTTAAGTGCAGGGGAGACCGAAGATATAATTCCATTTTCAGCATTATCTACAGGAAAGCTCTATGCAGCTCCCTGATGCAAATTCCATTCTCAGGCATCTAATTCTCCCTGTGCACTGTATAAAAGGGCTAGATGCCTAACGCAGAGTCCTGGATTCCACTTTGAAAGCCCAGGGACCTAAAAGTTAGGTATAAGACCTAAAACATTTAGGCATCCGACATATTTTGGGGTCTAGCCCAAGGTTTTTTGGTCCTACCAAGTTTCCACTAGAACCAGTGGAACAGCCTTCTCATCAGTGTACCAGGGGAACAAAGAAGAAACATGAACAGTTTAAGGTGGAATTTGTAAAGTTTATGAATAGGTTCTTATGATGGGGTTCGTTGTAACAGCAGGAGACTAGCTGCGACAATTTAGAAGGCCCCACCCAGTCGAACGTTCTTATCTTAAATAGCGCCTCTTTGTGGGGGAGGGGGCGGGGGGGTGTTTATTTGTTTATGCATCCTATATTCTGGAGTATCTTGTCATATTAAACCCCCCCCAAACCTCAAACCCTACTCTGATTTTACAGTGTTATCAACTGAAGTCAGGGCCTTGCCCTATTTGTGTGGGAGGCATGCAAATTTAGGCCCTGGATCTTTCACCAGTGAGATTAAAAGGAAAATAGTCTAAATTTTGCAGAATTAGATTCTTAATCGATCAAATATATGCCTGGTGTAAATCCATTGGTGCAGAGGTATTTTGCACAAGCCTATGAACAACAGCTGATACTCATAAAATATTAAACTATCCCAATGTCCAGTTCATGATAAGGAGTACCAGATAACATTGTGGCACAAGCTCCACATTTTGGAATGTCCTGTCAGATCTGATTCATCACTGATTGAAGGCAATGGATGGGCTCCCATCAGTTTTGGTCAGAGCTGGATCAAAACCTTAGAGGTTTAGCTGCCATAATATTAAAGTGCAAAATTGTGATTTATACCATTGTTTAGAGAGGAGCAGAATTTAACTGCAAATTACAAAAAATAAACAATCCCATCATTCATTGGCATGGAAATTACTTATTGACCAACAGAAAATGCTGGTAGTATTTTATATATGAATACTATCCAAAGACCAGATTTGCAAAAGCACTCTGAGGGCTTTTGAAAAAAAACTATGAAATGGAGAATATGAGTTTTACAATTCATTAAGGTAATATATATTTTTAAAAAATATTTTGCAGAAATACAAACAGTATTTTTAATGAAAAATGTTTAAAATATGTACACATAAAAGGCATTGCACATGCAGGTTGCTCTATATTCTTTCTTGCATATTCCCATGCATACCACATCTATGTAATCTGTAGCACAATTTAATATCTTGCTGCAGAAAAAGGGGTCACTTTTAGTGATTTAATTTATCAAATGATGTTTTCATTCTGTAGTAAAAATAATTCAGGAAATACTATAAATAAAATATCACAAATATGCTGCTGCATTTTAGATAAAATTCACTCTACCCTTTCAGTCAGTCTCACTTTTCACTTCCACAGGGAGTCACACAACAGCAGTGTGTCTAGCAAATGCCTGGACTCATGAACCAGGAATAGGGTTATCTCTAACAAGGTCTTCTTGAGCTAGTGCCATTACAATGCCCAGTTTGGAAATCCTAATCTCATAAAACATTTCAGCACTTCAGCATGTTTAACTTAAGTATATGTTTTGCTGGCTCAAGACCAGTTGGATTTCTACCAATCACTTTTCTAACAAGACTATTCCATAGTCTAAGAGTTACTACTGTCAGGAATTATTCCTAATATTGCTGATTCAATAAAGGATTTAAGCATATGCTTTACTGGATCTGTACCAATATAAACAAGCATAAGGTTTAATTCAAGGTTTTTCTCTAGTTATTCAGTGCTAACACAGATAGGCTTGTCTTCTAGAATAGCCAGAGAGACAGATCTTAAGATCTGCAGAAAGCCAGGACTATTGTGGAGATCCTCTGCCCCCTTACCAGCAAAAATACCTGACTGCACTCCCATTTATTACCTGCAGAGGGGAGAGAATGCTCATACTCGACCAGTTCCTCCTCTCCAGTCCCATTCTTCTCCCCAGAATTAATTTCC